TGGAGAATGCAGAGAACTAGAATGCAGAGCTGTGCAAATTAACTGGTATTCAATAACATTACTTAGTTTATTATTTTTTAAAAGAATTATTTTAACTTTAACTATTATCTTCCTATTTGATCAAAATGAGAAAGAGAGAGAGAGAAAGCAAGCCACCAGGTCCAGGACTTGAACTGTGGTGGGCCATGTGGGAGTCGAGGGCCTCTAACTACTACACCATCTGCTGGCCCTTAATAACTAATTTAAGGATCAGCTGGTGGCGTGTGGTGGTTAAGTTGACTGGATCCCACGTGGCTGAGTTCAAGGTTTGAGTCTGGGACCCAACTACTGGTAAAACACGGCAGGTATGTACCCAAAGTCCTGAGAGGAGACTGGATAAGGGATTGTGGCATGACCATGCCCCTGGGGGGGTGCGTACTCTCTCTCCCGCTCTTTCTCATTTGCTCATGTACCCTATAGCAAAAATAGATAAATAAACATTTAATGTAATTAGTAGACCTCACATATCCACTTAATATGTATCCAGTTACCATTTCATAGTTAAATAGGATTTCCTATCCTATTCCTCACTTTTTAAAAGGTTTGGTCCCAGACAAAGTAAGGCCTTTGTGAGAAATGAGAGTCAAGTTGAGTGTCTTTGTGCCATCAGAATAAAACTCAAAATAAACAGTAATCATAAAAAACTACAAATTTAGGGGCCGGCAGGTGGAGTGGTGGTTAAGGGCACTGGACTGCCACATGGCAGCCTGCGAATGGATTCCTACACGGTGGCTTGGTTTCTCACTTTCCCTCCCTCCCTCTCTCTCTAACTCTGTCCCTCTCTGGTCAAATTAAAATGAATTAATTAAAATTCAATAAAATAATTCTTTAAAAAAAAACTATAAATTTATATGCAACTACATTAAGATGAGATCTAGGGACCAGCAGATGGTGTCATGATTACATCACTGAACTCCAGCATAGCTGACCGTGGATAAAGTCCCAGACCTGGGGGCTTAAAATTCATACTGGGCATGTGTGCCCAAAGTCCCAAGAGGAGAACAGAGGAGAGGGGATTGTGGCATGCCAATCCCCCCTAGGGAGTGATTTCTCACTATCTCTTTGTCTCTTTGCCGAGTGCACATACCCTACAGCCAAAAAAAAAAAAAAAAAAAAAAAAAAAGGGGGGGGTTTTAAGAGA